GGGGGCGCAGAAGCGGCTCTCCCGCAGGCGAGGAGAAGGGAGGTTTCGGGGCTCTGCCACTGCCACTTTGAACCGAAAAGATCGGCCCGAAACACCAACAGCAGCAAAAAAAAAAAAAACACCCAAAACAAAAAAAAAGCTCAACAAAATTGGGATCGCAGATTGCGGGCTGGGGGAGCAGGGGGGTGGTGGGCTGTGGGGTGGCCAGTGCGCAACGCTAATGAAACACCTCCACTTCGCTTCCAGTTGGGGCTATCCGGGGCCAGGCGAAGGACGATCCCAAAGCGGAAGACGACGCAAAAGGCAAAGAGGAAAGTTTCTCCATGGACAGCGATCTAGACTACAGCTCCGACGACAACATCCCCAGCCAGGCGGCCCACAAGGAAGAGGACTCTGGCACCGCGCTGGAGGAAAACCCCCAGAACACCAACAACTCCAACAACACCACGTCCACGGGCAAAAACCGGAGGAGGCGAACGGCCTTCACCAGCGAGCAGCTGCTGGAGCTGGAGAAAGAGTTTCACTGCAAAAAGTACCTATCTCTGACAGAGAGGTCCCAGATCGCACATGCCCTCAAACTCAGTGAGGTGCAGGTCAAAATCTGGTTCCAGAACAGGCGGGCCAAATGGAAACGGGTCAAGGCAGGCAACGCCAACTCCAAGACGGGCGAGCCGTCCCGAAACCCTAAGATCGTGGTACCCATCCCGGTGCATGTCAGCAGGTTTGCGATCAGAAGTCAGCACCAGCAACTGGAGCAAGCCAGACCCTGAGCTCTCCCTGCCCTCAGCGCCAACGAGGTTTGATGCACAAGTTTCCACGTCGGGGTTTCAAACCAGCCCCCCCCCCCCACCTCGTTCCCGCAAAAACAAAACAAAACAAAACAAAAAAACAAACGACCCAACAACAAAAAAATCCCGACGCGCACGCACAGAAAATCCCGGCTACGAGCGAACTTTAAAAGTGAAACTTTCCACGTACCGAGAATCCGAAGGAAAGAGGCTTGAAACTGTGGTTTGTTTCGGAGCAGGAATACCAAACCCTGGAAGAGACATGCAGATATTTATTATTATTATACTGCCCTACTTTGTACATACAAATGCTTTCTCGGCTGCAACACCATGGCTGTGATGGGACCAAATAAGCGGTAACGTGACATTGCCGGATCCCGCAGAAATTTGCCCGTTGCCCCCCCCCCCCCTCCCTCCCCCTCGCCGGCAGAGACATCCCCAGCAAAACCTGCAGCGCACATTTAGCCATCTTTTGGGTTTTGTTTCTTATCGGTTCGAAAGGTAAAGACAGAGAACAAAAACGAAACAAAACTAAGAGTTTAATTTCATGCCTTTTTTGTAGTTTTATTTTATTTTGGATGGCTGAGTGGCAGGCACTGGGTGACAGTTTTTTAATATATTTTTTTGCCTGGCTTTCTGTCGTTTTGGTTTGCCTATTCTACCAAGCCATGTTTGAAGAGAGAGAGAGAGGAAAAAAAGCACGATCTTCTCTATTGTGTTTAATTTATTTCTATGTAGCTTATTTCCTTATAAGTTATGAAATTTAAAAGCAAACTCAGTCTTGTGAATAAAAACCGACAAAGAAACAAAAAGACAAAAAAACCCACTCCTCTATCCAGTGAATATTCTGTCCAGAATTTGGCGCTGCTCTGATTTGATTCGATTTTGATTTCCCCCCCCCCTTTCCTGCGCGGCCGGCGTGGGGGATGCT